CAACTACTCAATTTCTTTTCATTAGTATCGATTGAAAATGATTTCAAGTGCAGTAAGAAAAATTATCTAATTGTATTTAATCTGGTAACAAAAATTTACACAAATGTAATTGCTTAACGACTACCAGTAGGCAGTGCTAAACCTAAAAATGTTAAATTACTGGCTTGAGATTTGAGAATTTAAATAATATAATCGTTATAATCAATGTTTAAAGTTAAAAGTATTAATATAATAATGAAATAAACCATTACTCAGATGTATTAATGTGTAACAAGTATAAACACAATTGAAATAATGGTGTTTTAAAAAAAATAATAAATGTTAACACCGAAAAATTACTAATATCAATTACCGATGTATGTAATTTTACTAACTTCGAATAATTAATGTATTTCTTTATTACTTATAAATAATTAAAACCGAAGACCAGCACAATGTTTGATAAATAAAATACATACTACATTTTTATAATGTATTCTTTCAAAATCAAGAAAAACGTACCAATTACTACACAAAACTCAACTATAAGGACGAGTTTCAAGGGGTGAAGCAAATTAAAAAACAATAACAAATATCTTGTTGAGTTGTTGAAACTAAATTTAAAATTTTACCCTAAACCGATAACTAATAATTACACAAAACCTGTAAAAAGTTATAATGTTATTTAATCATTAGGGTACGGATTTTTTTGTGATTAAAATTTCTTTAATCTAGACTGGTGCATAATAGATTTAAATTTTAAAATATAAGTTAGATCATTATTTATTATTATTAATGTTAATAATATTGTCGTTTATATTACTACTTATTCAATATTAGGATTCTCGCCGTCAGCAAAACAATGAGCAACTATTTGTACTTTTTTTAAGTTTTCTAAAGCAAATCGACGTCAATCGGGGTGAAATACGATTCTTGTAACTTCTTATATCTATAACTACGGGCGCGTACCTAGTGCATGGATAGTCGAGCCCCACAACGTACGACTGACACAATATATTATTTTTAACCGGATTTAACAGTTATTTTTTCTAAATATGGGAAAATATGCGATAAAAGTTAATTATGTAAAAACATTTAAGTAAGCTTGAATATAAAATATGTAATATCAACCATAGTTTAAGACATTCAGATAGTCCTGAATAGATCTGAAACATTTCTATAGAAAAATTGTTCTATTAGGTACAATAATATTACTCATCATAAATATGTATAAATGCCATACAAATCCACATCCTATAGTAATTATAATAAAAATATTTTTGACACAAGTTATAAATTAATTTTTACTTAGTTACATGATAGCAGATAGAAATATAACACTTAAGACTTTATCATATTAAACAATTAACAAAAAAAAAAAAAATTTAAATCTTTAAATTAAAATAAAATAGGGGAGACGGATTCTATAATATAGTGACTAACTCGATATCCAATGTACCTACATTAGAGCGGTATTCACTTGCCTATTTTTTTTATTTTTGTCATAATATCTTAAATAAATCAAAGCGATTCTTATATAAATAATTGAGAAAATGAGTTGAACGTAGGTATATAGAATTTTTTTCAATTAAAAAACATTAATAACTAACATCAAACATGTTATAGTAAATAGTAATAATGATAATATTGAGTTTAAAAAATAAAGTGTTGATAGGTACTTGATATAATTTTGTCGATTTTATAGTTTGTAAATGTGTATAATATATATTTTTATTTTTATTTTGTTGAGCTCTTATATCTGGCAGTTAACAACTCGCACCGTATAACGGTTTAAAACACAAGGTTTATAATATAACAAGAAAAGAGTCGATAAATAAGGCGAACTATAATGTAGTAAACCAAACAGTGGTATATATGTAGTAAAAATAAAGGTATCTATAATATTTAAATACTATAATTGATATTGAGTATATCTATTTAAATATTCTGTGACTGCCAAAAGACACTAGTACCTACACACACACGTGCGTACGTAATAAATAATAATAATAATAATAATACACAAAAATAATATTTTAATAATAAAATTTATCAATATCCGACGGTGATCTTTAATGTCGGTGGTGGCAACTCGACGCGACTATTTTGCTGCTCACGGCCGTTACAGATAATCAGCTCGGCAGTCCAAATAGATGGGCAGGGATAGAGATATGTATGTGGATCGACGTCGGCGGTGATTTCAAGGATGACAGCGGGACACTTGACATATATGTGTGTGTGTGTGTGTGTACGTGTGTATGGCGAGTGCATAATAATAATATTCTACTATGAAATGTAATAAAATAATATGCCAGCGACCGCAATACGATTTCGCACTTCACACTACTTAAAATATACATTATAGATGCAAAGCTGGGCACTAACTAGTTAGAAACTTAACTAGTTAATTTTAATGCCAACATTGCCAACTAACTTTTTAACTTAACCAGTTAAATTGAATTTGTAAAATAATCTAATATAACTCGTTAAAACTTAAAACCAATAAGTAACTAGTTATTTTTGTAGTTTTTTTCTAATAATAAAGATTTAATAAATATGATTATTATTAAATATTTTCCGAGGTATTTTCATTTTTTTCAATTTTATGACAAAAATATTATTTTACCTACATATATGACATATTATATAGTCAACACAGGGAAAATAGGCTATATTGTATAAATTATGTATGAATTTTTGTATTTATATTGAGTCAATAATATCAATACATAGTATAGATAAATAAGCTATGTTAAACAGTTCGTATTTTGTTTAACTTTCTATATTCTAAGGAGAAATGATTGATATTCCGAAAAATGAAGACCTACTTGAAAATTTCATCAATAGGTATCAATTGTTCAATTTAATTTTTTATTCATCTCTAATAGTTCAAGTTTGTAATCTACCTACTTGATAACTACTTAATTTATGTAATACATTAAATTTAAAAAAAAACTAACTTCTAACTTCTATTCTAACTTAAGTTAGTATTTTCACCAAACTGACTTCTAAGTTAGAAATTTGGTAAATTTTAGAAACCAACTTTTATTCTAACTTAGTTAGTTTTTGTATTAAAATAGCTTACCTTTAATTAGTTGAAAAAAAATGACTACCTAACTTGCCAGCTTTGTATAGATGCAATTGTAAGGGGCAACAAATAATGTGAATCGCACGGACCATAACGTTTACGACAGGTCGCACTGAACCCAAAGGTATGTCGACAACCTAACCGAATACGACGCCCGAAGACCGCGAAACGACGTATGCACTTCACAGCATAAATATAATTATTGAAGTGTGTGATTGACGATACGTACCAGAACGATTTACGGAAAGTCGCACTAAATACATAGGCGCAAAAAACGGGCACGACCTCGACGCTCAAACGCTGACGGAGACGAACTGAAGACTGAAGAGTGAAGACAAACGTGAAACGATTGACAAGCAAGCGCGGTATCGACAAAATCTGTGATTATAGAAGTAGGGAGTCGTCGAAAAGTTTAATATACTGCGCGATAATGCGGACCGGTTCGGACCGCGAAAAAGGTGGTAACGTGAACAAACTTATTTTAGGAATTTAGGCCCACTGCCGCTTGTACAATTTTCTTCCTTGTTTCTCTATGTGTTGCCAGTTTTTCACCGTTAAGCGTTACTCCCCGTCCCCAATAACTTAATGTCTTCTTTTATTCGGTCTTACCTTTGTAGTCTATAATTGATATTATAGGTAATATCACTAATATACATAAGGTTGGTAGATACTTTGGTACATAGGTACTGACTTTCCGAATAACGACGCCAGTATTATTTTCAAGTTAGGTTAGGTGACGTGATAGGTAGCAAATAAATAAAAAATAGGGCCATGCAAAAATAATAATAATATTTAAGACCTGCGAAAAAAACAATTAATATGAATTAATTTCGAATCGGTGAAGAAATCGCTAGATAATGTTATTTTTCTTAGAAAAAATAAACTCTTTCATTTTGGAACAAGCCTTAATTAAAAAAAAAAAACAACCAAAGATTAATTATTTTAATACATTTAATTATATTTCTATTTTTTATTTGGTGTCAATATCAAATAAATACCTATTACTATTATTTATTATTGCTATTATTAATTACTTGTATTCACAGTGTTAGGTTTAAATGTATATACAATAATCAATACAGATTACATTGGTAACACAAAAAATACAGTTCATAAACAATGTGTCAAATGTCAATGCACTATACTGTGAACAAATTAATAGTATATAATGGACATAATATGCACGGCGATTATAATGAAAGCGAACTTTTTTAAAATAATGCATTTATAAATTCATAATAAAAAATATCACATTATACTATACATTTATACAATATACACTAATGTTTAGTATCATTTATAATACAAATGACCTTTTTATCGTAGATAGCGCATTTAACTATAAATACAACAAGTGGGTTGCAGGTATAGTATAGGAACCTAATTATTATTTAAAAAAAATATAAAATAATTTTTTTATCGTTTATTACATATCGTCTCTATATCTAAAATAATGGAAATTACAATTTCTTTCGACTTATAGAACAATGACCAAAATATCAGGACGTTTAAAGTTAAGCCAGACATTTTCTTAGTCGTCTCTTATGTTTTTATGTCATGTACTCCATACAAACACAGTTCTCTAGTAACATTAACATAGGTAGGGTGCGCAGACGAGTTTCACCTAATCCTACTTTATACGTCTTATGCGATGAGTTCAAGTTTTGTTGCCCGCAATTTAAGTCAGAATAATTGTCGATAATAAACGTTATTTTAGCAATAAAAATGTTCGGCGACAAAGTTTCATTAGTCTTAACTCGTTTCCACTACGAGAAAACTTACAACATGGGTTTAGGTATTGTCCATTTAATTAATGTTTACTTACTAAATCCTTACAGAATTACGTTTGATATAAAAATAATATTACAAAATTAATTATAAATCGTTTTTTATCGTATAGTAGGTAGTTATATTTATAAAATTGAAATAAAAATACATTTTTTAATATGGATAATTGGTACATATATTTAATTTAATTGTATTTTACAAACACGCATAAACAATATCGTTACATTGACATTAAAATAGATACAAATTTAAATTAAATATCATACATCGTGTTTAAATTAAATCATATAAGTCGTTTGAAGAACAATATCGCCGCTATAATAAATATTATGTTTGACGCCGCGCGTAAGTAGAGCAATCGAGATAAAAAATAAAATCGATAGGATATGGGGTAGATATATATTGTCCCGTTTTGGCTTTCGCGGGAACAAGAAAAAAAGAGTGAAATATACATTTATAGCCATCATAGTTTCAGGAAAACGGACGACGCGGAACACGCGTGACATATCGCACGCGACGATGCAGTCGTCGACCGTTCCGGGACTTACAGGAGCGTCAGCTGGACCGGCCTGTTGAATATCGGCTTGTTCTGCAGCAACCGGACAGCCCGGCCGGCCTCCTGCGGGTTCCTGAGGTTGACGCGCGCTTCGCCGGTCGGCTTGCCGAAATCGTTGAACCGCCGGATCACGTTCTGGCTGTTCAGCTCGAAACCTTCGAAGAAGTCCACGATCTGCTGGACGTCGGCTCGGTACGGCACGTTGTCCAGCGCGATCACGCAACCCGGCTGACCGAACCCTTCGGGACCGGCGTTCGGACCGGGACCGGGACCGCGCATCCTGGGCGTGTAACCGCCGCCGCCGCCGCGGCCCCCGCCGTTGTTCATGTTGAACTGTTGCGGTCGCCCGCCACCGCCGTACGGTCCACCGTTGTTGTGGCCTCCGTACTGCTGCGGCCGCTGGTTGTGGTGGTGCGGTTGCCTGGACGGCGGACCGCCACCGCCGCCCCAGGACATGTCCTGGTGATGGCTGTTGCAGTGCTGCTGCATCGGTTTGGTGATGGCCTGGATCATGAGCGACCGGTTGATGGGCTCCACGTACACGAGGTTCGGCCCCATGTACGTGCGGTTCTTGGCGATGGCGATGCTCGCCTGTTGCGCGGACCCGAACTCGCAGTACGACTCGCCGGTGGGACGGCCGAACTTGCTGAGCATGATGTGTATCTTGTCCGGCAACGCGGAAGTGTCGGAGAAGAACTGAGTGATGTCCGTGTTGGTGACGGTGGTCGGCAGGCCGTACACGTACAGACAGT